AGAGCTGGGTTGCATTCTTGTAAGGGTCTCACGTTAACATTGGACAAAGAAGACTATCCGGCTTTTTCTGACCTCTTATATAGACTCAATTAAGCCAAAAGAAAATTAAAAACCTAGAATTTCATCCGTCCTTATCTGGTGAGATTGACCAAGGAATCTCTTCTTCATGCACTTTCGTACGAAATGAATGTCCCTCTAACAATGTTATCTCAGGAGATTCATCGAAATCCAATTTCTCTTCGTATCTATGATATTATATAAATTCCAAACTATGATCAGATTGAGATGATGAGCTTTCAGTCTGTACGCATGTAAATGATGCTATGCTGGCACCAATAAAACGTCTGGCAATGTATTAAGTTAACTATAAGTCATGACTACACGACCCAGTTGCCAAACCGAGGTCGAACGATTTATAAACAGCAAAAATTGTCTGCGACACAGGCAGGCACCACGACATCTTGTTCCTCGTGTTGTGATGGTTGCCCTGCAAGTGAAAGATGTCTTTTGATCACAAAACGCCGCAAAGCAGATTCAGACTGTCTGTAGGACGAACCGGCCTGGCGGTCAATACGTGAACTAGAAGCCTCTTTCGGTTGTACCGAAGCGAAGGGTTTGACCTCGAAGCCTCATGAATTGGCCTGCACAAGCGAGCAACAAGAAGGATCATCCTCGACAATTGTGAAGCTCCACGACATTGCAGAATAAGAGGTGAACCAAAAAGACCCCAAGACCCTAAGGGAGAATGTTTCCAAAACATGCAGTGCAAACAAATTGACATTCTGACACATGTTTTACGGTTGTTGACAGTTTCGCTGTCTCGTCAAGGCTTAATCATTTATTCGTGTATCTTACAGCCAGCATTCAGGGCGTATTGTAACATTAAGCCGAAATGGGTTAAAATACCGAAGCGTAGTCAAATAAATGCGAAGAAAAGTTGGGTTTCGAGGAATCTCTTCTTTCATAATTGTTGAGCCTACTTCCATTTCGAGTGAAAGTGTTGCGTGAAGAGATTCGAAGGTCGACTGACGCTGTTTCCGAGGCAATCTCGTTCAATTCCGGTGAAAAGGTGCTAAGCCTTCGTCCGTCATATGACGGACATCGTCAGAGCGAGGTAACATCGCCAAACGAAAATTCAAGCTAACGAGTTGACATATGACTGTAACTAACCAAACGACTTTATACTTGATCAAAGAGGCCAGATGTAGAGTAGATATACCACTTTTTAGGGTTTTGCCGGTGAGTTTTCTTGACTCGTTAGCTCAATTTTGTTGTGACGATGTTACCTCGCTCTGATGATGTCCATCACATGACGGTCCTTTTCACCGGACTCGAAGGAGATTGCCCCGGAAACAGCGTCAGCATGAATCTTCCAGTAAAGCCAATCGACAGCTGGTCAAGAGGAATCCGCCGTCTTCTTCTGGTGGAAGCGACCTTCAAATCGCTTCACCCAACACTTTCACTCGAAATGGAAGTAAGCTCAACAAGTAGTCACTTTAGCCACGTATTGATGCGTACAACCATCAGCATATAGATTAATATGTTGGTAGGTGTTTTTAAATCTACCTTAAATGGAAGGATATGTGGATATGTTGTCCAAAATTTCCATATAAATAGATGGTTGTTTTAAGTGGCAAACGACCAAGTCAAATGTAATTCAAGCGGGTGAATAGGAATCACATCTTGGAGCGAACGGTTTACTACGCCATAGCCACTGGACAGGGGCACACTGCCGGTGGCTCGGGGGCAGAATGACTGGCATCTGAGCCGTCCAATGAACAAATAAAGCCGAGTGAATGCAATCAATCTTGCCCCCTAGACGAACGCTTGCATTGGGCATTTTTGGGCCAGTTCCGGTCTCATCAACTGCTCTGATGGAAGCAAAATCACACAGTTTAGACGCGAGCCTCATCTGCTAAAGTGATGCGGCCGAGACAAAGTTGAAACTGGGGTTCCGAGGTGGGCGATAAACTTCGTTTCAGTTGCGTAGTTGGTTGGAATTCGTCGTCACCTTTCGTCGACTGCTTTTCGAAATACCCTTTGGTACATCTGTTATTCTCTATTTTGGTAGTGCCACTTTTGCTTTGTAGTTGGCCATTGCCCTTATTTTCTCTTCACGTTTTCCCATCTGCTCCACTCTTTAGGAATTCCGCTGATGGTCGCCCTCATTCGAACCATTTGGCTGTCTATTCGCTTGCCTGGCCAGTAAGTTTTGAACTAAATTTCCTCACATTTTAATGTTTATTCATGATTTTTCACAGAGCGAGACGAATCTTTAGACTGTCGCTCAGCTTCATCAGCTGAAACTGGTTGGAATTGGTAAAGTCTATATTTCTATTGTCAGGGGGACCTTCATTTCGAATGAAAGTACATGAAGAAGAGATTTGTTTGTCGATCTCACCAGAT